GTGAATGTAATACAAGAAGAAATTGATGCTCTTGAAGCTAATGAGACATGGAGTTTAATTTCAATGCAATCTGTTGATTTTTTTTACTAGATCTCTTATTTCAAATCAATTTTATCATTTACTCGGCAAGTTAGATGTCATGGATCTACACTCAAAAGTATAAAATACAAGTTTTCTAAATAAAAAAGAAATCACCATAGCCTAACAAATCTTCTCATCCTCATCCATGCACAAAACTCATCCCCATTTATTTGGATGAAACAATCCATGTTTATCATCTACCCAAATCTTCCGCTTCTCATCTGCTTTAAACTGTTCCAAAACAAATGAGTTGTTTTGGATAAAATATTTTATCACTCTCTTAATTCAAAATATTTGCAACTTAAAGTTGGCTTTTATAAAGATGTTGATAAGCTAATATATGATAGTATAAAAGTCTATTTGAATTTCTTCTTAATCTTAATGTTCATGAATAAAAATAACATTAAACTTTGATATTTTTGGTATTCCTGTAGAAGATAGAATTCTTCGTCATTATAATAATAGACTTATTTTCGTAGTAGATTTTAATTGGTCCATCTTACTTTCCTTATAGATCTATTAAAATTATCCAAAATTAAATTGTTTAACATATTGTACTTATAATCGAAATATATGTTGTGTAGAGCAATAATTTTTTTATTTTTTTAATTATTTATAAAATCACTCCTGATATGTTTTTTCTATCATAAACACAATGAACCCAATCACTATTAGTAAAAAAATATAACTTAAAATCTTTTACTTGATTATCATGGATGTCATAATTGAAATGTCTCTTGATGTATTTAAGAACTCTCTTGACTATTCCAAAATGATACTTGTTAGGACTGTACATAAATATTTGGTCTGTGTGAGATAAATTAACTCTTCAATTAAACTTTTATATTACTTCTCATCTTTTTTTATTTTTACTCTATCATATAACATAAGTTTATCATTTGTATTAATTGGAGTTTCTAAAATTTTATAAACATATATATACATATATATATATATATTTATATATACATATATATGTACATACATAATAATAATAATAATAATAATAAGATTCATAAAATAGAAATTTTAGTTCTTCTAGTATCTAGCAAGTTCATATCATTTCAAATGGAACTCACATATAAAATATGAGCATTACATTATTCAATTTTGTGGAATCATTTATCATGATAATAGGTGATTCATGCTTAACTCGATTTAACATATCAATATTATCTTTTATGCGACATATCAAAATTAACACATCCAAGAAAAAGACATACACTACACATGTCATTTAGTTCAATTACATAGTTATGATAACTAAAAGTCATAAAGTTACATAATAATTCATGTCGTTTTGGACACTGCGAAACTAAGATTGGTCAAAATTGAGTCATACTAATTTAGGAGGATAAATACAATATTTGTCTAATATGTTATTCACTTACATTGCTTCAAAATTGATGAGGAAGCTTTCTGAAGAATCTCTCTCTTTGTACCAAAATTCTCCATCCTGAGCTGAGCTGACTACTTGCCTTATGCTAAGCTTAAATCTTTAAACCTGGGAATTGTATAATAGACAAGTTTAGGGTTCACAATGAAGCAAAGAAGGGAAAGGAAAAGCAAAAGGTTCCTTAGGAAGAAGAAAAATAATTCTTAATTTCTCTCTCTTTTTCTCATTATTCCTTTCCAAAATAGATTTTTCTAAATAAATAAATAAATAAATATTGATATCTGATGATATACCAGACCTAATTAACAAGGATCGAATGCTTGAAATCTAATTAAATAAATTTCAGATGATAAAGATTTTATCATATCATAGTAGAATTATGAGATCAAGACATGCCTCTC